ACTTGTTGCAAAACAGGAGGAACCTCTTTAACCAAAGAGTTGTGGGAGTATCCCAACCATGTTGTTAAAGGCAATATCCTAGCACCTTTCAAGAAATAGCTTTTATCCGTTGTGTATGGTAACTATCAACCAGGCCAAAACGTAACCTTTCTTATCTTGTGTATGATGCATGTGTTAAAACACAGGAGATGAGGTGGCAGTTTTTATGGTGCCTCTAAAGGCCGACTTTTCTTGACCTGCAAAACCACTGTATAGTGAAGATAAATGTCCCATCTGTTTGCAGTACTGCTTCTGCAGAGCTCTGATCAGATCGCTCAACCACACACACAAGAACAGGAGTTGTGTCTGGGCCTTAAACGATTCTCTTCTGCTGAAACTTTAGCCTTCAGAAGAGAGAAGACTTGATCTGAGAGAGTCTTGCTGTTTTGTGCATTGAACTTGCCATAACCCCGAGAGTGTGAATGAAATAACCTCCGGAGGGCGGGGCTTTCAGAAAAGGGAGTAGGGGTATTCGCATCAAAAAACATCACTGTTTGGATCACATGTTGATATACAAGTATACCCACCTTTAATACGAAGGATATAGGAAAACAGCCATTTTCTGGATGGAAGTATACAGAGGCTCTGAAAGTGGGCAACTAAAATCAACACGTGGCGTCCTGATCCCTGCCTTACTGCATCGGGTGCCGACTCAAGTATTGTTTGAATTGTGTTTTTCTCTGCTTCACCACAGATGATCTTGTGTATCACTGGCACTAAGCCAGAGCACAGCTGTTATTGCTTTAACAGCCTAAATTCTCATCGCATACCGTACAGTGGTGTTTAGTGACCAGGCTTATTATTTTACTGAGAATGGAGCGATATTGAAGATTTCTAATCATCTTTGTGTACGTTGACCAAGCAGCCTGGTGAGGGCACTTAATGTAGCTAAAGAGGCCCCTCTTTGTGCTCTCAGCCACAGAATGACCTTGTGGTCTTTGGATCTAAACTCCCCATGATGGATGTTCACTGCTGGTGCCTGGATGTCTAGCAGAGAGCTGTAGGCACATCTGGACATGGTCAGAAAGGCCACAGGGCATGGTCAATCATGCAAAGGAAGTGTAGTAACAGACAGATAAGTTCTGGAACCCGAGATGAAGTTTAAAGAACTGAGTTTATTGCATGTAAGGAACAAAAAGACCAAAGTATTGTTCGAAATACAGGTACAAAATCTCCAGTTTATATAGCAAATTTCAGCCGCTTCTGACACAAATTGTTACCATGGTAATGGGGGGGGCACCTGTGTTTGGACATTCCCAAGACGTTGAACACTTTTAATGGTCAGTTTTATCTTTCCTTAGGGAGTCTCTATCTTGCACTTGGAATTTCATATCAATTAACTCCCATCCTTGCCATAACTCAGAGGTGCCTAAGCATGGAATGTCTTGAGCCACAAGAAGTCTTTGTGCAGAAAGAAATCAGTTAACCCCTTCTTCACATCTTATATCTTCCTTCAGTAGATCTACCAATACGTGATCAGATGGGCAGGTACCAAAACTATACATGATAGCATCACAGCCAATTGCCAACTGGTGATGTCACCCCATATAAACTGGCAGACTGACTTTTGCAACCATGTGCCTGCAAGCAGTCGAAGTCAGGACTCCACAAAGCCAGGCCGAGAGAGACTTCTGCAACAGAAGAAATCGTTTGTTGGCAAACCCACTGTTATTTTTGTCCTGATCAACAGTGAAAGACTGATCAACAGTGAAAGAGACAGATCAGTGAAATATCAGAGCATATTCTAAAAACTATAGCTGGAACTAACTGAGCCTACCTTTTGGCTGGACCTGAAGAAGGCAAACTATGCATAGATTGTTTTTAAAGACCTGGGTCTCAGGACCCTACATTGGCAGAGCTGCCTGAGACCAATGCAAGCTACAGGCAACACAAGGAGAAAACTCTTGCTCTCTCTCTGCATCAGGACCCTCCCAGCACAGAGCAGCTGTCACAGACAACCCCTGTCCAGCTGTCTGCCCACTCATCAAGGGCATGTTGAAACCACAAATAACACTTCATTGTTCACATTATAATTCTCAAGAACTGAACTATTATTCCAAACACGTTTTTTGTTTAATTACAGTAAATATTTACATGTGCCTGAGAACATCAATGTGATTTATATATATAAGACTGATAGAACCTAACCAGTTATAGTCAATTTTTGACTTTTGACTCCGATCTTTGTAATCCCCGAGTGAACATTCAGCTTTTGCGAAACAGCAAATCATTTTCACAGCTGTATTCTATCACGTTTGTTGCTGGTCATGCGTGTTTCAGGTATATTAATGAATTGTATATCATGTATTAAGAATCTGTGTGTGAGACTTTAAATTGTTATGTTTAATGGTTCCAATTTCTCTCGCAATTTACTATCACAATTGGCCTCAGGCAGCTCTGCCAATGTAGGGTCCTGAGACCCTGGTCTTTAAAAACAATCTATGCACAGTTTGCCTTCTTCAGGTCCAGCCACAAGGCTCAGACAATTCTGTACGCCCAGAATATGAAAAGAACTAACTGTTGTCTAGTCTGCAACTTAGATATAATTAATTGGCAGGTGTTGCTTTTTCATCATTTGTTTAGAATATGTCATAGTAACTCTTTGTGTTTTAAGGTATAAAGGACCATCTTCAGCTACTTATTCTTTAAGTCTGGTGGTCGCAAGCCGGACTTCCATATGCATATGAATAAAGGGACTTCTGCTTCACAGACACCTGAACTTTGTCATTTGTTTGACACTACACGTCACCTCTGAGCTGTGGTGATGAACAAGTGTCTGCGCAAGTGTGACCGTCGCGGTTCCGCTCCACCCTGCCGGTCCGTCCCACGAACCAGCCGCATGAGCAGGAACTTTTTTTTTTTAAGAATTTTTTATTAAATTTGTAAAGAATTTACAAATACAAATACAATCAGAGGATCAAATTAAGTACAAGAGAACAAACACAAACAGAAAAATAAACAGTTAACCGCCAGAGGTAATAAGTAAGTTATATGATTAACTTGTATTTTTTACATATATCATATGTTTTCCGTGCTTTATTATTTCTCACATTTTTAATAGAATTTAAATAGTGTTTCAGCTCCACCTCAAAAGAACTAAAAAGGGGAGTATTATTAGACCATTTGGATTTATGGATGTGAAATTTACCAAGAATGATTAATAAATTGACTATAAATAAATGCTCTTTTTCCACATTTTCTACTAAACAGTACAATAAAATGTCAAAATCCTTGAGCAGGAACTTTGAGCCAGGCGGTGACGTCCCTGCTATGCGCAGGGAGGTCGATGACGTCACCGTGCCGAAACTAGCTCCGCTACACAGGGAGGGCACAGATCAACAGAAAGCTCAAGCACAAAGACAAATGCACCACTCTTGCGGAAACACCGGCCATTCGCTGCAAACTTAAAGTCAACATAGTCTCTGACACATGTTGCCCTGCACCATTTTTTCCACTCTGTGATACCTATAACCAATAATTAATTATGTAATTCATAA